CTCATTTCGTGGTACCCTGAGGATATTTTTAGAGAACTAGCAATTTTCTGTTTAATGGATCTGCTGTTTATTGTACATCTCTCTTGGTTCCTGTGCATCAAGTGTGATGGGACACATTTTTCAAATGTGATATAACAGGGTCTTGATGTAACAGCTGAAAATTATAAAGAAAGGAGCAAATTTGGTCTTCATTAAGATTCACTATACAGACAGCTATTTTCTACAAGTATTTGGATAGATTGTTTTTTTGCATTCTTTTCATAAACAGAAATTATTTGATAAATGAAAGTCATTTAATCTCATATAATTCAAATAAGTGTAGGGAATTTCAACTTGGGTTGTGATTCGGTACACATTAGTGGTTTGGCTCCATCCCTATTCAACATTACACTACACAATGAAATTTGCACGTGGGACTTTAATTAGGCACATCACTGGCATAGATGATTAAAAAACTGAATGAAATTCATGTTCGTTTTTCACATCATCATTGTGCCAGCTGTAACACAGAATTTTCGTGTTGCAATCGAAAGCGCCTGATTCAAAATACTGAGTTTTGTTTTTTTTTTAAAAAAAACTCAACAAATGATGGCACAATTGTATGGGCTATTTTCATTTTTCGATTGACATAGTTCAGTTTTAGACTCAGCTATGGCCAGCTTTAGACATATAGGGGTTGATTTACTAACCTGGAGAGTGCAAAATCTGGTTCAGTTGTGCATAGAAACCAATCAACTTGCAGTTTTTTTTTACAAAGTTTAATTGAACAAGCTAAAGTTAGAAGCTGACAGACTACCATGCACAGCTGCACCAGATTATGGACTCTCCAGTTTTAGTAAATCCACCCCAAAATATCAGTTTATTAATCAAACCAGAAGAAGGTTTTAAATACACATAAAAGGTTTAGGAGTGTGTCTATGGGAATATTTGGCTACTCTTCCAGAAGTGCATTTGTGAGGTCAGGTACTGATGTCGGACGAGAAGGCCTGGCTCACAGTCTCCGCTCTATTTCATCCAAATATGTTCTGTCAGGTTGAGGTCAGGACTCTGTGCAGGCCAGTCAAGTTCCTCCACCCAAAACTCGCTCATCCATGTCTTTATGGACCTTGCTTTGTGCACTGAGGCGCAGTCATGTTGGAACAGGAAGGGGCCATCCCCAAACTGTTCCCACAAAGTTGGGAACATGAAATTGTCTAAAATGTCTTGGTTTGCTGACGCCTTAAGAATTCCCTTCAAAAGAACTGAGGGGCCAAGGCCAACCCCTGAAAAACAATGCCACACTATAATCCCCCCTCTACCAAATGTTACACTTGACACAATGCAGTCAGGCAAGTACCGTTCTCCTGGTAACCACTAAACCCAGACACATCCATCGGATTGCCATACAGAGAAGCATGATTCATCACTCCAGAGAACATGTCTCCACTGCTCTAGAGTCCAGTGGCGGTGTGCTTTACACCACTACTCCTGACGCTTTGCATTTTACTTGGTGATGTAAGGCTTGGATGCAGCTGCTTGCCATGGAAACCCATTCCATGAAGCTCTCTGTTGTTGTGCTAACCTGAAGTCCCCACAAAGCTTGGAGGTCTTCAGCTATTAACTGTGCAGACAGTTGGCAACTTCTGCGCATTGTGCTCTTCAGCATGCGCAGACCCCTCTCTGTCATTTTATATGGCCTACCACTTGGTGGCTGAGTTGCTGTTGTTCCCAGTTCCACTTTGTTATAATACCACTAACAGTTGACCATGGAATGCCTAGGTGCTTGATTTTAAACACCCGTGGACTATCAAGATGCTAGGCTGACTCACTTTTGGGTTTTCAATAGTTGGGAACAGGCTTTACCTCTTGAGATGAATCTTTTTTTTATAAGCAATAATGTCCCATTTTGTATCCCCTCAAAGAATGGTGAAAAATCTTCTGCGTGCTTGATGGGGCCTTAGTTAGTGCACATTAAGGTTAAGATCCCCGTTTTGAGGAAGATTACCTCAAGATGGTATAGCAACAGAAAGATTCCCCTTTTGAGTGGTGTTGAACTGGGTAAGATCTCATTAACACAAGAGATGAAGGCAAGAATTGGCTAAAATTGAAGAAAAGGGCGGGAGCAGACTTCAGCAGAGGTTGAACCCCTAAAGATGGTAAACCAGTCTGGTGAAGCAAGTTCCTTAGAGCTGGAAGACGCTTGAAATGAGATACTAGTGTAATCCTGTCTGCAGGGGAGCACGTGCTGTAGCCAGAATCCTGTGATTTCAGGATAAAGGGGAGACACTAAAGCAGTAGGCCGCAGTATTGAATGGGCTAAGCAGTCTCTGTCTCAATGTGATAATCAGGGGTGTAAAGTGTACTAAACTGAACAGCTGAAAATATGGAGCCCTCTCACCTGGTTTGTAGAATTTGCAGCGTGAGCAGTAGTCTCTACTGTGGAGGTGGGGGTGTGTTCTCTTGATCCTCTTACATAGTTAGTCTGGCTGAAAAAAGACTAACGTCCATCTAGTTCCACCACAAAAAAAAAAACGTTATAATCCTACACCCACAGCTGATCCAGAGGAAGGCAAAAAAAAAAACAGCAAAGCATCATCCAATTTGCTCCTGCAGGGGAAATAATTTATTCCTGATCCCCCGAGAGGCAATCAGATATTCCCTGGCTCAACTTTACCTATAAATGTTAGTATCCAGTTATGTTCTGTGTATCCAAGAAAGAATCCAGGCCTTTTTTAAAACAATCTACTGAGCTGGCCAGAACCAACTCTTGAGCGAGTCTATTCCACATTTTCACAGCTCTTACTGTGAAGAAACCTTTCCGTGTTTGGAGATTAAATTTCTTTTTCTCCAGATGTAAAGAGTGCCCCCTTGTCCTCTGTGATGACCTCAGGATGAATAACTCTACACCGAGTTCAGTATATGAACCACTGATGTATTTATACATGTTGATCATACCCACCCCTTAATCTCCTCTTCTTAAAAGAGAATAAATTCAGTTCCTCTAATATTTCCTCATAGCTGAGCTCCTCCATGCCTCTTATCAGTTTGGTTGCCCTTCTCTGCACTTTCTTCACTTCCCCAGTGTTATTTTTGTGAATTGGTGCCCAAAAGTGAACTGCATATTCCAGATGAGGTGTTACTAATGATTTATATCTCTCTCTCTGGAGTCTATACCTCTTTTAATACAAGAGAGGATTTTGCTCGCTTTAGAAACCGCAGCTTGGCATTGCATGCCATTATTAAGCTTGTGATCTACCAGAACTCCCAGATATTTCTCCACCATTGATTCCCCCAGTTGTACCCCCCCCCCCCCCCCGAGTATGTATGATGCATGCATATTCTTAGCCCCCAAGTGCAGAACCTTACATTTATCAACATTGAACCTCATTTGCCACATAGTTGCCCAATTAAACAGTGCATTGAGGTTGGCTTGTAAGTTGGAGACATCCTGTAAGGATGTTATTCCACTGCATAGCTATTGTCATCTGCAAAGACTGAAATGGGATTTATAATCCCAGACCCTATATTGTTTATAAATATATTAAAAAGTAAGGGTCCCAACACTGAACCCTGGGGTACACCACTGACACCCCTAGTCCATTCAGAGTATGAATCATTAACCACTACTCTCTGAATACGATCTTTTAGTCAGTTTTCTATCCCTTTACATATGGATTTTTCCAAGGGGAACTGTGTCAAACACTTTTGCAAAATCCAAGTATACAACGTCCACCGCCACCCCTCTGTCCAAGTATACCACGTCCACCACCACCCCTCTGTCCAAGTATACCACGTCCACCGCCACCCCTCTGTCCAAGTAAACCACGTCCACCACCACCCCTCTGTCCAAGGTTTTGCTCACCTCCTCATAAAAAGAAATCAGATTTGTTTCTCTGTTAAGAAGCAATTGCGTTGACAGCACTACGAACTGAATTATTGACTGTCCTGGTCATCAGCGATAGCAGTGGTCTGCAGTCCCTCTTTCGTTCTCTGCAAGGCGGCCTAATCCAGCCTGGATTCCCTGAGTCCCACACGGCCTTCTTCACACACACACACATGTTCTCCACCTCTCACCATATACTTCCTTCCTGTAAAGTTTCCAGGCTTCTCAATACCTCCCCTTTGCCAGCTCTTCCGGGAAATGTAGTCTGTTTACTTCTTGTCTGAGCGCAGAAGTCCTGCTACCAGCATACAAGTTCAACAAGGCTTTGCTTCAATAAAGTCTGAATAGCTGAACCGCAGAATACTGCCATCTTGTGGTTAATTAACATCCTGCAATCAGTATTAGTGCAGTGTGTTACATGTCTATCCAGTGCAGTGCCTCATTTAAAGTCCCACGGGCAAAGTTAATCATGTGTTGTAGTGTAAGGTAATTTCAATAGTTGCTTTTAAATCTGGAGTTTCAATTTAAAATAATACCCAGTGATCCTGCCTTGAAGTTCCTTTTCCGGCACTTCCTATTAGAGGTGCCAACTGTCTTCCAATTGTGCTTCTGCTCTGTCACCCTGTCACTTGCACCTCTTGTTAGGACTACAAGCTACCATGTCACCACAGATTGTGCAGACATGGTTCACTCTTGTCATTATGAGTAAGCTGGTCCAGAGCACTAATGGGCAGCCAATGCTGGAGCAAGTCCATATAAGCATGATGTGGCTGAAAAAAAGCTGTAAGAGATCAGCATTACTTTCAGGTAAATGTTAAACTGACCATAGAAATAAAGTACCGTATTTGCCGGCGTATAAGACGTATAAGACGACCCCCTACTTTTCCTGTTAAAATATAGGGTTTGAGCTATACTCGCCGTATAAGACTACCCTTCTTCCAACGCACATCAAATAAAAATGAAAAAACATCAGATTTGATTTCAATATGGTATGGTATTTCAGTATGGTATTCCAATGATGGGGCACTATTCCTCCCACTGATACCAATGATGGGCGCTATTCCTCCCACTGATACCAATGATGGGACACTATTCCTCCCACTGACACCAATGATGGTGCCCCATCATTAGTGTCAGTGTGTGAAAAATAGTGTCCCATCATTAGTGTCAGTGGGAGGAATAGTGCCCCATCATTAGTGTCAGTGTGTGAGGAATAGTGTCCCATCATTAGTGTCAGTGGGAGGAATAGTGCCCCATCATTAGTGTCAGTGGTGAGGAATAGTGCCCCATCATTGGTGTCAGTGGGAGGAATAGTGCCCCATCATTGTCAGTGGGAAGAATCGTGCCCCATCATTGGTGTCAGTGGGAGGAATAGTGTCCCATCAGTGTCAGTGGGAGGAATAGTGCCCTATCATTGGTATCAGTGGGAGGAATAGTGTCCCATCATTAGTGTCAGTGGGAGGAATAGTGCCCCATCATTGGTGTCAGTGGGAAGAATCGTGCCCCATCATTGGTGTCAGTGGGAAGAATAGTGCCCCATCATTGGTGTCAGTGGGAGGAATAGTGCCCCATCATTGGTGTCAGTGGGAGGAATAGTGCCCCATCATTAGTGTCAGTGGGAGGAATAGTGCCCCATCATTGGTGTCAGTGGGAGGAATAGTGTCCCATCATTAGTGTCAGTGGGAGGAATAGTGCTCCATCATTAGTGTCAGTGGGAGGAATAGTGCTCCATCATTGGTGTCAGTGGGAGGAATAGCGCCCCATGATTGGTATCAGTGGCAGGAATTGCGCCCCATCATTGGTGTCAGTGGAAGGAATAGTGCCCCATCATTGGTGTCAGTGGGGAGAATAGTGTCCCATCATTGGTGTCAGTGGGGGAGGAATAGTGCCCCATCGTTGGTGTCAGTGGGGAGGAGGAATAGTGCCCCATGGTTGGTGTCAGTGGGGAGGAGGAATAGTGCCCCATGGTTGGTGTCAGTGGGGGAGGAATAGTGCCCCATCATTGGTATCAGTGGGGAGAATAGTGCCCCATCATTGGTGTCAGTGGGGGAGGAATAGTGCCCCATGGTTGGTGTCAGTGGGGAGGAGGAATAGTGCCCCATGGTTGGTGTCAGTGGGGGGAGGAATAGTGCCCCATCATTGGTATCAGTGGGGAGAATAGTGCCCCATCATTGGTGTCAGTGGGGAGAATAGTGCCCCATGGTTGGTGTCAGTGGGGGAGGAATAGTGCCCCATGGTTGGTGTCAGTGGGGGAGGAATAGTGCCCATCATTAATATCAGTGGGAGGAATGGTGCCCCATCATTGGTGTCAGTGGGAGAAATAGTGCCCCATCATTGGTATCAGTGGGGAGAAAAGTGCCCCATCATTGGTGTCAGTGGGGGAGGAATAGTGCCCCATCGTTGGTGTCAGTGGGGAGGAGGAATAGTGCCCCATCGTTAGTGTCAGTGGGGGAGAGGAGCGGCTGCTCCTTCTTTCAGTTCGGCCGCTTGATTTTCGCGGGGCCGTTCGGCTCCGCCTCCTCGCCGGTGATTGGTCGCCTGTGTGCCTTTCCAGTGCTGGCGCCAATCACCGGTGAGGAGGCGGAGCCGAGCGGGCGGCGGGACCATAGAGCGGCCGAACTGAAAGAAGGAGCAGCCCCGCTTCCTGGACCGGATCGTCGTTGGACCGGGACCGGAGCCAGGTAAGGTACAGCAGCCCCTCTGCCCACCCCTGTACTTGGTGTCCGTTGGAGGAGGAGGGGGGGTGGCGCCGCCCCTCGAAAAAGTGCCGCCCTGACACCGGCTTGCCGTATACCGGCGTATAAGACGACCCCCGACTTTTCAAAAGATTTTCACGGGTTGAAAAGTTGTCTTATACGCCGGCAAATACGGTATTAACCAAAAAAATTAAGTAATTTCCCTTAAACTGGAAGTAGAGAGATCACTATCTTCACCATGACAAATCTCTATGCCCATGCTCCATCTATCTCTAGCTTTGTATACAAGGTATTTCATTATGATTTGATTTTCAGACAAAAATTTCATTTTCCGAGCTTCAGATGTATAGTAACAAATGTCAATGAATCTGAAAAATAGATGTAACAAAATTAACAAATGCATTTGTTTAATTCGGATGATGTCACATGATGTGTTAGTAGTTTGGGCCCATGGGTGAATGAATAAAATTTTCAAATTCATTCGATAATTCAGATTCGGATAACAAATGGATCTGAATTTCATTCCATTCATTAATTCGGATGCACATGACACCAGTTGATATTGTCCAGCTTGTTCCATTTCTCTTGGTGGGTTGGACTAGCATCTGAAAATAATCCTTCCAATTTGAATCTGTCTGATTCGATAATATACCGAATATATAAGAATCTTCAGGAAAAACTGCAAAATATTTCAAATCCACCCCGACAAATAAATATACGAAACAAATGCCAAAGATACAGAATGAATTCCAAAAATGAGTCAGGTCAACATAACAAATATGTTGACCAAATATGACAAAACAAAATTCTTCAATGAGCAAATTCATCCGGAACTTTCCGGTGTGCACATGTCTATTGTGTAGCATCAGTAATGTGGTAGGAAGTTATATTATAATATTGGCTAGAATGTGTTGACACTATAAATATTTAAGCATGTTATAAATGTTTGAACTTTTTGTGTGGTTGGGGGGAGGGGGCAAATTACTATGCTAATCCTTTTAAGAGCAACAACATTTAGTGAAATTAAATAAAACATCTAAGATGAAAAGTCATCATTGCCTTTGACTTACAAATGTCCTACAAGCAAATAACGGCTTAACTTAAAGGAAATTGGCCTTCCTGTGTTTGTTTCCTTTGCTATCTCTAATTCTTCAAAACATGTAGGCGTCTGATAAATACTGAACCATGTAGATCTTGTTAGAGGATATTTAGACATCTAGTATGATACTATACGTAGGTAAATATCTGTAGGGACCAGGGGCGGACTGACAACTCATGGGGGCCCCCGGGCAATAGGGGATCATGGGGCCCCTGTGTCCTTGCCCAAACTCAAAAAAGCCTATAAAAAAGGTACCAGGGGCATCTCATGGGGCCCCCTACTGACCCTGGGCCCTCGGGCTGTGCCCGAGTTTCCAAATGATCAGTCCGCCCCTGGTAGGGACACTCAGGTCAGGATTCAATCTCACCTCAAATTTACCTCTTTCTGCACACCTTCGAATAGCTAGACACCAACTAACCAAATCCTGAGTGTTTCTGAACTGATGGCTTACTTGCATAAATTTTTAAGGGGATATTACAGAGCTCGGCCTCATTTCTCTCACTATGGTAAGCAAGAAAGATCCAAATGGTAGAGAACTTCCTTTCCAATTAAGGGAAGATGTGCTAATTTGAATAAATCAAAGAGTGCACTAAATATAAGTAAATTCAAAAATTATTGACGACCGTGATAGAAATTTTTTTTTTATAAAAGTCCATCCACCATAACAAAGTAATTAAACAGTTCTGCAATCTTGTATAAATCAAACACCGTGCACAAAAAATCCACCACCGAATGAAATGGGTACACTCACCAGAGCTCCATGCTGACCAGATTATAAGTCAGCAAAGATAGCGTTTGCTCTGGGAGCGATGATCAGCAGAAGTAATCCAAACTGGGAGCAATATACTGCAAGCAGCCAGTCAGCACAATATGGAATAGCCCTAACAGCAGGTAGTCATCACGTCTCCATACCACAGATCATGTTCGGGGAATCAAAAAAGGAAATCATGGTGCAGTACGTTTAAAACCAAAATGTTTTATTAAAACGTCAGAAATGCACTCACAAACAGGGTGTCTAGCCGACACCAGCAATGACAGCCTCAAGAAAACAGGGACGAGCCTCGCTCTGGTGAGTGTACCCATTTCATTCGGTGGTGGATTTTTTTTGCATGGTGTTTGATTTATACAAGATTTCAGAACTGTTTCATTACTTTGTTATGGTGGATGGACTTTCATAAAAAAAAAATTCTATAACGGACATCAATAATTTTTGTATTTACTTATATTTAGCGCACTCTTTGATTTATTCACATTTTTTTTACCTTTTTTTGGTTAGGACTGCAGCTTTTGTTCTATTTAGTTTGTGGTTGTTTTTTTTTCTCTATTTCTCATATTATATAAGATGTACTAATTGGTGGGTAAGAGAGGTCTTTTGTTGGACCCAGTCCGACATGTTACAGCCTTCTCTGTTAGGAGCGAGACCTTTAAGACTGCCATGTAACTGCTATGAAATGAGTTACCTGTCCTGCTGAGGAACATGGGTCCAGGCCATATTCCCCGTGAGATTTCAGGTGTCATTTGGTGCTTGTACAGGATGTTTTAAATAATTTCTGTATAACAAATTATGCATTAGCCATTGATGAGTTGCTTTAATAATATTGAAGTGAGTCTCTGGTTTGATTATCAAAATGTTATGTCCTCTGTTTAAAAAGATTTCTTTAAATGTTCGTGAGCATCATGGAGCATGTGGCCCTTGTCTCCAGCATTGCTAATAAAAAAATCTTGAAGTGGAAAGTAAAGTAAGTTCTACTTGGGAGTCAAGGAGGACTGGACTCTCAAAGGATAAGTTGACCTTTGGAACACATTACATGTTCCACCTACTTTTAAAGTGGAATATGTAACATGTTCCCATAGCGACAGCCGTGTCCGCTGCCTCCCCTCCCGACAGATAGTACGGGGAAACTTCTCCTCTTACTATCTGTCAAATTTGAAAACAGAGCGTCTGTGCGGGGCTCTGCCCACACGGCTGCATCATTCATTCACAGACGTCTGTAAATGAATGAACTGCAAGTCTCGACAATCTTAGCAGCTGTGGGCTTGTAGTTTTCAATGAATTACATGGCATGGGTTCATTGAAGCTTCCTGTCAGTATATCTGTTTGCTCTTTCATTCCGTATGGCAAGCAGATATTCTGACAGGTCTGCAGGAGACCTGCATGGCATCAGCGATCTACTGATCGCTGGTGAAATGCTTTACAGGCTCCTGTAGACAAAAATAATAAATGCACATTTCTTTACCTGCAAAAAAAAATGTGCATTTATTATTTTTGTCCAAAAGGTGAACTTATCCTTTAAATGAGTAGTATGATCAGCGGTCTGTTCTTGCAGAAGAATGGGGTTTAGTCTCAGATACCTCTGCTCAGAGAGTCCACTGAGGATCCTGCAGGATGTAGCTTGGGAGCACTGGCTAAAAGTATAACCCTGGCCCTGAAACTCCCAGGATTGAGAGTGGTTTGGAATTAGAAGGTGGATATAAATGCATTGTGTTTTCCAACAATATGCTTCACAAATCCCTATAGACTCTACATTAATGATTTCCTATGTTCCAGAAATGTGGCCTACTAACTAAAAAACAGTACTTGAAGCGGGAGCTCCACCCAAAAGGGGAAGTTCCGCTTTAAGGACTGTTCCCCCATTCCCCATTAAGGATTGGGACCTTTGGGGGGTGAGGGGGAGCAGGTACCCAAATTTAACGAGGTACCCACTTCCGGTCCGATCGCCTAGGCGATAGGAAACGGAAGGTGTCCTTCCTCCCTCCCTCCCTGTAGTCTTTTGGCACACGTGACAGGTCCCAGAAGACTACAGGACCATTCATGAAGCACAGCGCTACTCACGCATGCGGAATGGGTACCCGGCTGTGAAGCAGCAAGCTATCACAGCCGGGTACCCACACTGAAGATGCCAGCCTCCTGGAATACAGTACAGCTGGTGAAACGGGCTGCGGGGGACATAACGCGGAACCGAGGGACAGGTAATGGCTGTTTTTTTTAAAAGTCAGCAGCTACAGTTTTTGTAGCTGCTGACTTTTATTTTTTTTTCTGGGTGAGTGGAACTCCACCAGGGGCGGACTGACCATTTGGAAACTCGGGCACTGCCCGAGGGCCCGGGGTCAGTAGGGGGCCCCATGAGATGCCCCTGGTACCTTTTTCATAGGCTTTTTTGAGTTTGGGCA